CTACTACTACTCTACTACTCTCTACTCTACTCTCTCTCTCTCTCTCTCTCTCTCTCTCTCTCTCTCTCTCTCTCTCTCTCTCTCTCTCTCTCTCTCTCTCTCTCTCTCTCTCTCTCTCTCTCTCTCTCTGAACCGATTCTCCGTCGGTACGCCGTAAAACACTCGACCGCGGGATCGACCCTGCTCACTTCAAAGGTACCGCTATCACTTATCCATCGCACATGGCCCGCTGCATGTATGGCAACGAATAGTATCCGCGAAGGAAAGTAGCTTCTTTCTTTTCGTCGCTGCATTTCCCTTTCGATCGATGTTGTCACGAGGTCAATATTAATATTACGAAATTAAATGCTTATTTTAATTCGCGTAATGATATTTTACTGTCAGATATAAAAAAGAATTTCGCAGGTAGTACCTAACTATTAAAACAGGATTTAAAAGTTGTAAAAGTTAAATTAGATAATTTTATCAAATTGCTATTATTCATCATATGATTCATCTGGAAAGTTTTAATTAAAACGTTCTAACATTTACAAATATCAGTTAAGACTAAAAAGAGGTTTTGAAGTTGCATCAAAACAGAAACAATCCGTTTGAAAATTTTATGGATATTCGTGCAGTCTGCCGTTTGTGTGATATCGTCTGTGGTTTCGATAAACTAATCAGCACCATAGGAAATTGCATGCCTACATATCTTATCGGCACGGCATACGGGTAGTTCCTATAACTTTTCTTTCTTTATCACCGCGATTTTACGCGTGATGCACGCCAACGAAAAGCGATATATGCACCTCCATTTTCACGCGTTCCATTACAAGTACAAATTTAAAGTGTCGCGCAGAAAATTAATAAGATCCAGCTTCGTCGGCAATATTAGTATATTGCAATAAATAAATATTTGCCACATTTGCCAGCAGAATTTGCAGAATATTTTATTTGTAAAGAGACATATCTCTGGACATATCAATAGTGTATAATATTTATTAAAACACTAGCGCAAGGAAAAAAAAAATTATTCGCCACGTTGGGGATGCTACGTAATAAAATATTACAAATCCAACATGGCAACAGAGGACGCATTTATGTCCAAAGATTTCATATACGAACCGTAAGGTGATGCACGTTGGAAGCCAGTACTTTCATAGGCACGCCACGAAGACATCATCGCGACGTTCTGCGCGTAAAACGGAGCAGCGGCCGCCGCCGCGAGGGTCGAATGGGGATGCGTCGCGTGCGGGTGTCCCGCGTGAGGGTGGCCAGGTCCAGCGTGTGGACCCATCGTCGCCGCGGTACCACTCGTGTGTCCGGCGAGCGCGTGGTGCGCCGCGTACGTCTCTACTCCGTGCTGCCAGGATGCCGTCTTTTCCCTTAAAAGAATCAAGGATGTTTCATATTTGTTTTTTTTTTCAAGCTTTTTTCAAGCACTTGCGATGATTTTTGACGGGTCGACAAAGGTCGTACCATGCGGGCGAAGGCGAAGTAGGAAAGGAGTGATATTGTGCCGCTGTAGCCGCGGATGGAATTGCCGGCCTAGACGACGGAACATAGACGGGCGCCTGGAGCTGCTGTCCGTGTTGCTGTTGCTGCTGCTGGGATTGTTGCTGGTAGTCGGAACTTGCGCCGTACCCGCCACTTCCGCCCCCGTGGAACATCCTCCTCGAGAGCTACCACCGTGACATCTGTCAGAAACAAAAATGTTATCAAAAGTTAATACGATAACTACATGATAACACTTACATGACAATTGTGTTAAATACATATAATTTCCCAAATTATTAGATTAGACGATCTCCATCGGTAGTTTTTGTTAAAATTTCAGCAGTTGTGAGGTTTCTAATAATCACGATTTGCTGATCCAGATTTGCATATTTCAATAATTTGTAAATTATTATTAATCATTTTTTAACAACACATTTACGACGCAAAACTGTTTTTAAGTTTAAGAAAGTAATTCCTTTAGCCGATGCCGACAACACAAAATACAAAATGTAAAAGCGGAAAGTACGGCGGCGAGTACTTTGTGCGCTTAAAGAGTTACCGCCGGCAATCTCATTTCGCTACCGCGGAAAGATATATCGTTACAAACGTCGGTAATATGGAAGCGGCTATAATACATCCTGCGGCAGATAATGTTAATGATCCCTTTAGATCCGATAACCGGCTGTGCATATTGAGATCCTGCCGAGATCATGTAAGACGACGAGCAAATGCGGCGTGGGCCGCCCATGAGACCAAGAATGGCCGTGAATAAATGCCAAATCCCATCATGGTCGCCGACGGATCTCTTCTATCTTGCCTGTTCACGCGAGAAAACGATTTAGCGAATCGGGGAACTAGAGATTCATCGACTCGCTCGATCGAATAACATTTTTCAGACTTTGAAATTATGAGAAATTATGAGAAATAAATCTAATTCTATTTACGACGTATATTTCTTGATGATATTTATGCGCTAATATGTATATACACAGCTATTTCACTAAACAAATTAATTATATAAATTTAGCAAATACTCTCCCTGTTCTAATCAAGTTCGTTTTAAACAAGTTTTCAATCGTCGTTTTCAATCGTCTCTTTTTCGAAATGTAATTTAAAGTAAATTCCTTGTATAAAGAAAATTCCTTATCACACATTACAAAACGATACAGCTACACGGAGAGAACACTTTTGCTGGCAAATCTAAAATCTAAAATCTTTGGCTAGATACAGATCTGAAAACGATTGTATTGGGCCTTCAAAATTATTATATACAATGTTCAAATTGATTGTTAGAAGATCAAACCTTTTTGCAGTATTATCATCATATTTAAGTGTTCTACAAGATAATTTTGGGCCAACAAAATTATTTTCGGATCTGTATCTGGTCAAATTTTTAGATTTGCCAGCAAAAGCAGTGTTCTTTTCGTGTAGTAAATCAAATATTTTTTTTTTCTTACATTATTGCAAATAATGTTAAGATATTTGAATGAGTACAAGGACTTTTGCAATAATTATGAAACGCAATTGAAACGCAATTTTTGCACGTATGTTATGCGATTTCATTATGCAACATGCATTTTATAATGATTTTTACTAATGTCGACGCTATTGCGATGTGACAAAGGTTTATCTCAGTATTGTTAGAAACGAAAATAGTATACGTAGCTCGATACTTATCGGTATCTCTCGCACACCGCATCCATTTTGGTACGAGTCCTATGCCGCCCACGAGTTTCATTGTTAGGATACGCATCTCCAAGAATATGCACAGCTTCACCATATCTATGCGGACCATTTGAACGCAATGCATAGAACTTGACGCACTTTACATTGCAAAATTTAGAGAAAACGAAAATATCGGCAGTTAAATGTAGTCTTTTCATTTCCTCGCAGAAATGAAGCATTCAATTTTTTCTATTTTCTTTCTTCTTATTTTTCATGTATTTTCATATCAATTCTTCAATACTTTTATTAATTTGTCATTCTCTCTTAATTAAATTTGCGAATTATTAGCTTTTAAAAAATATAAATAATAATATAAATGATTATTTTTTTTATAACAGTATCTAATGAAGTACAAAATATATTAATATGTAAGATTTTGAAAAATTGTTCGAAAGAACAAAAGTATCGATATCTGATGAAAATTCAAGCATCCCTTGACGCGAGATAACTTCAACGGGGTAGTAGATATTGAATTCTCACATGCCTTGCCGCCCACAATTGTTCCATTGTCTTGGATATGCGAGAAAACGATCGTAATGCCGCTATAGTCGGCATGTTCTACGAGTCGGCCCTCCACGACGGATCCAGGAACCAATCTCTGAAAGGAGTGGAGGGTATAACGTATGATCCATAAGTGCATAAGAGAGAAATACCGAGACACGGTAAAAGACAAGAGAAGAGAGGGAAAATCCTATGTGATTTGTAAAAAAAATTATATCACATATCTCTTCCAATTTATTATCTCGATAAATCATGAAATGCGCAATCTCCATCGAACCATAATTTAACTATCAAAATATACAATTTTTATTTACTCATTGTTATTTTATTTATTGTTTGTTACCGTTTGTTACATTATAATATTAATTTGGTTATTTGGATTTCTAAATATGAATTAGAAAAACGTTTTCTTCGTACATATATCACATCATATATTATGCACGGAAAGAACATTTTTGCTGGCAAATCCAAAAATTTGATCAGATACAGATTTGAAAACAATTTTGTTGGCCCATCAAAATTATTTTGTAGAACACTTAAATATGATGATAATACTGCAAAAATGTTTGATCTTCTAACAATCAATTTGAACATCGTATATAATAATTTTTGAAACGCGCGCGCGCGCGCGCGTATGTGTGTGTGTGTGTGTGTGTGTGTGTGTAT